CACATCCGTTAACATTTCGAGTAAAAATATAGATACAGTGACCAGTTTGCAAGAAAATAACATCGTTACACATTTTTAATTGGCTAACATATATGCGGTTAATTCTGAACGAAAAAGTGCTGGGTCGGAAACTGAAACAACGGCCTCGGGAAGATCATTCCAGAGCTTGATGGCACGTGGCAGGGAAGAATTATTGAATGACAATGATGTCCCAAAGATGCGCTTAAAAGTCTTAGTGTTAAAATTACGTGATTCCTTGTTCAGGTGTTCCAGATGCAAAAACCAAGTCCCAGCGGGGCTGTGGCATAATCGGTGAATTAAGCATAGGAGAGAAATGTTACGTCGAGTTTCCAGTAGACAGATAGAATAATTTTGCTTTATTAGTGACACGCTGTCGAAACGCGAATATGATGAAGAAATGAAGCGGGCTGCACGGTTTTGAATGGATTCGATTTGATTAATAAGGTAGGTTTGGTAAGGGGCCCAGATAGCGGAGGCGTACTCTAATTTCGGGCGAACATAGGTTTCATAGGATAATTTGCGGAGGTGAGAGGGCGCAGATTTAAGATTGCGTTTCAAGTAACCGAGGGTACGGGATGCTTTAGCGGTTATCGTGGTAATGTGAGAAACCCAAGAAAGATTAGAAGTTAGTTCGACACCGAGGTACTGATAAGCGGAAGCAGCGATGATGGGCGAATTGTTGAGTAAATATGTGAAGTCTGAATTTGTGCGTTTACGGGTAAAAGAAACAAGTTTACATTTTGCTGTGTTAAGGGTCATTTGCCATTTGTGGCACCAGGTAACTACCCGATCAATATCAGTTTGGAGATGTAAGTGGTCGTCAGGGTTGTTAATCTTTCTGTACAGTACACAATCGTCGGCAAAAAGACGTACACAGGATGTTAGCGACTGCGGGAGATCATTAATGTATATTAGAAATAGAAGAGGGCCAAGGACAGTACCTTGCGGCACCCCGGAGGTTACATCGGAAAGCTCCGAGTAAAAATCACCTACTGTGGTGAACTGCTGTCTTAAGGAGAGGAAGTTTCGGATCCAGGAAAGAGTTAAGTCGTCAATGCGAAGTGAGGAGAGTTTAGATATTAGACGGCAGTGGGGCACGCGGTCGAACGCTTTAGAGAAGTCTAAGAAAATGGCGTCGGTCTGGGTGTTTAGGTCCATGTTACTATGTATGTCGTGAGTGAATTCAAGGAGTTGGTTGTCGCATGAGAACCCCTTACGAAATCCGTGCTGGTGTTTGTAAAAAAAGTTGTTTTGGTCAAGATGGGACATCACATTCGAGAAAATAACATGTTCCAATAGCTTTGAGACAACACTCGTTAATGAGATGGGTCGGTAATTATTTGGTGAGTTTTTATTGCCACTTTTAAAAACTGGAACGATCTTCCCGATCTTCCAGTCAGAAGGGATGGATCCGGTAGATAATGATTGTTCAAAAAGTAAGCAAAGTATATTTGATGATACCTCAGCAGTGTTACGTAATATTTTAGAGCTAATCATGTCGGTGCCCGCGGATGTTGAGATTTTAAGGTTATTGATGAGTTTTAGAATTCCTGCAGGCGATATTGAAATGGGTTCCATAAAACGGCAGTCTAGCTCTGGTACAAACGGAATATTACTTAGGTCCTCGGTTGTAAAAACAGACGTAAAGAAAGTATTGAGGACTGTTGGGCAGCTCGCGTCGGGTACGAGTTGGCCAGAGCCGCTAATAAGGGATATCTTATCATGAGACTCGGTAGGCGATAAATTTTTCCAGAATTTAGTTGGATTGTTTTTAAGTAGAGCAGGTAAATCGTAATTAAAGTACTTTTTCTTTGAGTTTTCTAGACAGGTAATATATTCTTTTTCACAGCTAGAGTACCTCGCCCACAATACATCAGAATTGGATTGTTTTGCCTTTTGGAATAGTCTTTTCTTTTTATTACGAAGCGTTTTTAGTACTTTATTAAACCAGGGCTGACTGACGTCGGAACGGATTGAAATAAGGGGAATATGAGCATCAATGAGCGCAGATAATTTATTTTTAAACATATTCCAATTATTTTCTACTGTACGAGTGTGAAAGCCGGCAGTGAATGAAGAACAAAAACGCAGGAGGCTTTTATTAATTGAGTCATAGTCAGCCTTGCTGTAATCTCTTATCAGCTTAATAGTATGCAGCTTTTGGGAGGTAGATAAGTTTAATTTCAGATCCACAATTTTATGATCACTGAAACCGTCGCAGCAGGTCAAGGAAGTGATTACATCTGGTGCTGATGCTAGTACTAAGTCGAGAATGTTGTTGCCGCGCGTGCTGGCGGATACTGCTTGTACGAGGTTGAAAGTTAGGCATATATCCACGAAATTTGTTTCAGTATTATCTTGGGATGATAGTGTCGACCAGTCGATAGATGGAAAGTTAAAGTCACCAAATACAAATACGTCGGCTTTCGGATGGTCGCAATGAATCAGGTTTAAGTTATCGTGAAACGAATCGCAGAATGATGAGTCACTGTTGGGTGGTCGATAACAGACGCCAATTATGGTTTTCTTGAATGAAGTATGAAGACAGATCCATAGCATCTCGATGTCTTTATCAATTTTTATTATGCACGAGGGAATGTCTTTTTTGACAGCTATCAAGATACCTCCTCCCCTCCTGATACATCTGTCACGGCGATAAATGTTGAAGTCTGCGCAAGTGTCAAATATTTCCTTATCAAGTATACCAGGTTTAAGCCAAGTCTCTGTTAGGATTACAACGTCGGTATCGTTATCGTACAAATATGATGATATTAAATCATGTTTAGGGATTACACTGCGGATGTTAGTGAACATAAATGAAACATTGCGCGTTTTATCCGAGATTCTTGATAAGACCCGATTAGGACAGGAGGGCTTAGATTTTTGTTTCCTTCGCTGTTATGCTGTCAGTTGTTCTACACTGTCTGATAGGGGATTGTAAACAAATATCCTGTTCTCCATTTTCAGCTTATTAAACGTCAGCTTGTAAGACACATTTCTTTCTTTTGCAAAATGGAGAAGTTTTCTTCTAGCAATACGAACATCCAAAGAAAAGTCTTCCCCTACGGCAAAAGGTGTCCCCTTAAGCAATGGACCGGACATTAAGATGCGATCTTTCTCCTTGAATCGGGAAAACTTCACGATTATTGGCCGATTTCTTCCCGCTGAAAAACGTCCCAGGCGATGGGCCCTCTCAACACAATCGGAGCTAACGGTCTGTTTAAGTTTTTGCATGCAGAATTCTAAAATGATTCCCTCGCTCATGGCCCACGTTTCGTTTTCAGAATCCTCGATACCGTAAAACAAAATGTTACAACGGCGAAGTCTGTTTTCTGCATCGTCGCATCTAGCCTGTACATGACTAATTTTAGATTCCAATGACGGGATGGTTTCAGCGGGTAAGAGAGAGGGGGATTGGGACTTCAACTGCGCAAGCTCGGCTTCTATTGCTGTCACTTTGTCCGATAACTGTTGCAGTTTAGTATCTGTGGTTTTCTGTTTATCTTTCAGTAGTCTCACTTCACTTAGAATTTGTGTTTGGCCTTCTTCAATTCTTTGCACAGTTGCTAGGATTGTTGTTTGAACATCAGCGCTTCGGGTTTCGGGGCCAGGGTTCGATTCAACATCTCCTGCCACAAGAAGCCTTAGACGTGATAAGCAGGAAGGGAAAAAAGATACAAAGCACGCGCGAATTCTCTTTCCAACACTTTGGTGGTCAAAGGGGCATGACACCGCGAACAAACAATAGTCGCTGGACCGATAGGTAGTGCAGTGGTCTAAATAACTAACCTGTAAGTACAGTGACGGATACAAGTGTTCTCACTCAACCATGCGGTGCAAGTGAGGCACGAGATCAGAAAGCTGCTCGGAAAGGAGGAAGGAACCCTGAAACGAGCACCCCTGCCAGATTCCTCACGTCGAGAAGTTTCACCAGGCCATCCATGTCCACGACGTCCACTGCAATTCCGGTAGAGTCGATACGCACGTCGGTGATGTCTTCAATTAAATATTGTAATTGCAATTCGTCCCAAATTTCCCTACTTTTCAGTACTGCAACGACGTCAGGGTTCGTTGTTTTAAAAAGCATGGTAAAAACTACTTCCCCTTGGGGAACATTGTCAAGATTGGGCATCCAAATTGCATTGGAAGTAGACTCCAGATTCCAGTACGATACAGCCGGCCTCTTCACGTCAATCCCACACACATTGTGTAAATCCTGCAGCATATCGATGGCTTCCCACAAGCTCACAGTGACCATAATGGCATCCTTCTCGACGCGGATCCCAGTCAACGCGTCTTTCAGACACTGTCGAAAAGTGACTAGGAGTGTGGGATGATCAATGTCTTGAAACGTTTGGGAAGGATCTGCTGCAGTAAAGAGCAAGCTTCTTTGCAAAGCAGTGTAGTTCGTGTTCCCTCGCTTTACTGACATGGCGATGGCGTGTAGATGGATGGGCAAAAGTACAATAGAAGAAATTTAGTCGTAAAACGGCGATTGATGTGTCCTACAGACAATGGGATTGAACACCTCAAGGTGTCAAAAGGTGGAAAAAAAGAAAAGTATGGAATAAAAACTTCCCTTGTAGCTCCACCGACAGCCCGCTACCTGTCTTGGCACTCGCGCTCGCGCCTCTTCGGCATTTGGCGGGAAAGTGGCGCGTAGCTCCCCGTCACAATGTTTTCGACATCTTCGGTATTGTCGCTGCACGCTCGCCGCGAGTTTGTGAAGCTCGAATTATTTCCAACGCGGCGTCTGGCAGATCCTCTTTAAAGGGGCCCTGCAATGCCTTTTTTACTATTTTTTAATTTGCACCAGTCCTGAGCGCACTGAACGTAGTAACTCGGGGAACTTTTTCTTTTCTCGAAATTCGCTTTATTTTAAAAGTTATAGGCAAATTAAAATTACAAGAAAAAAGCAAAAAAAAGCAGAAAATAACCTCCCTCTTACGTCTTTGGTCCTGGCTTTGTGGTTGGTCCTGGCCTGGCGTAGTGACTGGCCAATCGGCTACGGCTTACGTTAATGGCCGCTTCGCCTGCAACGCGTCAACGGCTCGTTGCTCGCTTCAGCCCTCCACCGCGCTTGCCGGCATGAATTTACCGGGTCTGTCGGAGTTGGAGGTCCGAATCGTCCATAGAAGTGCGGAACTGGGAGTAGTACCGTACGAGGACACTCCTCGCAAGCGTCTGAAGCGCGCTGGCGAAGCTTCTCGGCCCCAACTCGACGATGTTCCGGGCGTGCTTCCTACCGCCCCACTACCGGAGCCACCGCCACCTCGTCGAGTTGGAAGCACAGATTGGTGAGCGTTTTCGTTGTAGCTATTCCCATAATCACATTCCGCGCACAATCGGGGAGCTCGGCTTTTAACGACTGTTTTTTGCAATCAAACAGGTGCGACTGCGGCCGCTGCACTGCGATGCCGACAGCTCGAGAGTGCTTCTGCTGCCGAGAATTGGCACCGGCCGTACGGAAGCAACCGACGCGGTGCATCACGTTGGACGGAGACTTCTCGAAGCTATGCTTAGATGTTGCCGTTCTTGCGGTGGCATACTGCGAAGTCCGTGAGAGCGGTCGTGAGCTTCAACACCAGCTGCACGAGTGAGTAGGCGGGCATGAGGGTTGGCATGAGGCAACCTAGCCGAATTAGCCGTGGCGCAGACGTCACAGTACCCAAAACGAAAACCGTGATTATGTACTACATGTAAACATTTAGGGACTTGTGTGAGTGCGGTGACTCACGGAACCTTCTAGTATCGGTTCATGTTTTCGAAAGCCCAAACTTGCATGGTTTCCTTGTGTTCATAATTGTGAGCTTTATATTTGTTCTTCAATTTCTGCATCTTATTCGGTGAAAATTATGCATCATGCACGACTCCTTATTGCTCAAAGGTTTACGCATTTACTGTCTTGCCAAAGATATCCCAAATTAAATCACTCTTTTTTTTTTTTTTGTCGTGTATATTTTGTTTGATTTTGCACAAAATTTACTTTTGACAAAGCAAGCATATATGCTTTTCTAGGGATTAATCTCATTCCTAGCAAGTAGCAATGTACCGCACATAGAAAAGAGACTGCAACACAGTTAAACATATCAACAGTGTTTTTATTACATGGAAAGGCAGTAGTATATACACATAGGCCAACTGCACCACATATCTTAGACCTATAGATAACAGCCTGTCAAAATAATGGGAGTTGGCGTGACAGGTGACACTACTGTCAAATACTGCAGAAGCACCCACTGTGGACAATCGCCCGCTATTATTATTTTAAAAACTCAGGAATACTGCAGATAGACCGATCTCACCAGCAGGGCTGGGCAGTATTGCGATACAAATGTATTGCAAGAGTACCTTGTTTGCGCTGTTTGACCCCTAAACATGCTTCACCAACTAGCCCAAATTTCAACAGTATGCCCTCCCCACGTAGCACCGTTCAGGAACAAATGTATTTTTATAAGTGTCTGTATCTGTATTCCAGAATACTTTTTCAATGTTTTTCGGAGGTGTCTCAGGGTCATCCCGTAGCATAAGACAGATATATAGCATCTGTATTTTAGGCCTTAAAATACATATATCTCAGTATTTGTATTCCTGAATATTCTCTGGAGTATCTATGCCCCGCCCTGCTCACCAACCAGTTTGACTGCACCACCGCTATCACAATGCATCAAGAAAACTTTTGTCTTTCTGCATGTGCAAAAGTATTTAACAGGTTGTTACTCTGAGGTAGGTTTATGTCGGGTTTAAACATTTTCAAGAAAGGCAGGACAGCATCGAAGATGTTTGTCAATTTGGCAAGCTTGGAACTGCATGTCGCAAAGAAAACATACAAACGGTAAAGGAGCTTTGGCCAAGGATCGTCTACTCACAGTATGAATGTTAGCGGAGGAAGTGGGCATTCAAGCGTGAAATTGTCCGTTTTATTTAGACCTGGGATCTGTTCCCAACATTCAACACCGTGTGACAAGGGAGCTGGACGTCCTCCCGAAAAAGGACTTCGCTTAGATTTTCCAGGTACTGTTCATTTCCTGTCTACAAAAAACAAACGCTTGATTTTTCTTTTCTGCAGGAAGTATCGCTTTGTGGCGTACCGGCAATTCACCCGCTGGATGTGGGGTCGCCTGGGCGCTGGAAACCGGCGAGTTTTGCCAGCATGTGCTGTTCATAAAATAAGAAAAACATTTCCCTCCCAGAGGTACACTGGCTTCCGGTACCCCTCTCTGGACTCCGCACCAGTGGATAGCTGAGGTTGGTTCACTTCTTGTGTCGGTGGTCTCTTGTGCAGTAGATCCTTCTGAAACCACAAGTATCAAAGTAGTAACAGCTAACATTAGCTGTAGTTAATTGCACCCCTGTAAATCAGCAGAGCTTGTTATTCTTTGATTCAGCCCCACAAATAACTGTGTATAAACTTTAATAAACATTTGACTGCATTTTGAACTTTTTTAAAACTGGGCAAACAACTTAATACCAGTGCCACAGAGAGATATAAGTATTGATAGAAATAGTGTGCTTTTTAGTATGTAATAAAAAAAAAAAAAAAAGCTAAAGTAAGCGGACTGGATGCTGTGAATGTTTATACATGTATTGCGAGATATCAAGCCATTTTTAAGAATTAGTGATATGGTCAGATGAAGTCCTCAAACGCTTCTAAGATTTATGTAATGTTGAAGGTAAACATGTTTGAGAGATTTATGTAATGTATGATTTATGTAATGTATGAGATGTAACAGCCTGTGTACACTGCACTGTCTCTGAGTGAGGAGTTTTATTTCTAGAAAACCCATCTCCAGATAAGCCAAGATAAACATGGAAGTTTGCTTATCAGATGGGCTTTAAGCCCTGCAGTGTGAATGCCTGTATAGTGGACTCTACTCCATAGTATGACCAAATTCAGTATTAGAGATTTTGAAAACAATGCACTCCCACAATCCTTGCAGTTACAAGAAAGATTGGCCTAGGTTCAGTTTCTGGGCTTGGCTGTTCGAAAAAAATTTAAAAGTCCATAAGGATGCTATATTTTTCAAATTTTAAGGGGTGCAATATGATACAATTATTGCTGTTTGTACCTAGTTATTCTCTTGTAATCCTCACGTTTTGTCCCTTCTGAGATGTATTGGCATGAAGTTGCCAAAAGTGTGATTGCACATGAAAATCTTGCCAACTTTAAAGGGACACTGACCTGGTGTTTATGCTCGCCAAGGTTTTTATTTGTACATGACATATGAGAGCACAACTACCCAGAACACAATTTGCGGCCCGAAGTTCATTTTCTTTTCGCCCGAAAACCGCCAATCAAGAGCTGGCCGGTTTGAGTCGCGCTTATTTTCTTCTCCAAGGTCACGTGCCGTTTTTGGTTGGTTTAGACACAACCACTAAATATAATCAATGTTGTGGGCCATTGAAGGCAAACACTCAATATTAAAAATAAAAATTAAATGTCATACCAATTTTTTGTGGCTTTTAAAAAGCCGGAAATATGTCGATTGAAGACAAAAAAGGTTGCACAGCCACGTGGCTTCCCCCCGCTGTCTCCTTCTCTATATTTCTTCTTCCTCCCCAGTCCAGTTTTGGTTTCAGTTTCGAGCAGTTGCTGTTGAAAACAACAATGGACACCACTGGCATGAGACATTTAGTCTGGGGTGAGAAGAAGGGGGGGACGGGGAATCTCGACCGCGAGAGAACGGGCAGTCGAATAGACCGTTTAACACAAGCCGGTGGTGCTGCGATTCTTTCTCGACCTCAATGTCATCAACGAATACCTAGCGAAAGAGCGCCTCAAAGCGCAACATTTGCGTTTTCTTACTTTGTTAAAAAATATATGTGACACTGTTGCAAAATATTGATTTGGTGGTCTTTCGACACCATAATGAATCGCCTGGCAAAACACTAAAAAAACTTTTTTGGGTGTGTCAGTGTCCCTTTAAGGATTTATGTCCTAAAAAGCCAGGTGAGCTGGCATACCCCTAATCCTCATGCTAAATAATTAGCTGCAAGGTATCTGTATGGAGCATTCACCTCATGAGTGTCCTGGCGCCCCCTGGCTGAAGCGCGACATTCTCTGCGCCACCAGCTGCTCTTTGGGGAGCCTTGGGTACAGCGCCGCCATGGGGAGGACTTCTTCCTGACGGGTCTTTTCCAGTGCCTCCTTGAAGGAGGACGACTCGTTGCAGCAAGCGACAACTTCGTGGAGAAGTGCGCCGACGTACGCTGTAATAATTGAGAGCATAGGGGAAGCTTTATACAATAAAAAAATTTAAACCAAACAAGTGGCTACTGGTAACATTTGCAGTTATCTCAGAAAAGCCCAGTGCAACACACTTGTTTATGTCATACCATAGGTAGGCTTGGTTTTCTCCTTCTTGACGGTCTCGATCCCCTTCTTTGCCCTCTGCATTCTCCTCTTCCACTTGAGACGTCCGTCCCTTGTGAGGGCTTGGCTTCTTGTGGAGTTCTCATTATGATGGAGGGCAGCCAGCCTGGTTCTGAAGCAGAAATGTTGTCCACCGTCAAAAGCATTGTTGGGAAGTGTTAACAAAAAACAGTGGCGTAGCCAGAGACTTTTTTTGGGGGGGAAGGGGGGGCTAGGGGGTGGAGCTCTTGGCGTGTGGGGGTGCCGAGGGCATGGAAACATTTTTTTGCGCTGGACATGCAAAATGGTGCCTTGAGCATAGGATAGGAGTGGAACCACACTCCGGAGGCAGGGGGAAGGGGAAGGGTTGGAGGGCTGTAGGCTGGGCTGAAACACGATAGGCCCGCTTCCTGGCTGCGCACCTGACACAAAGCTAGACTGGGTTCTTTCAGGTGTGCCAACTTTTTTGACAAAAGACAAACCTGGCAAGCATCATGCCGGGCTTGAATGCAACAGACTTGGGGGCAAATCTTGTCAGAGTACTGTGATAAGACTCGAGGTTGTAGGTCTGGCCCGCGGGTGAGACGTGCTCGAGGTCCCTGAGCAGCAATCGTTGTGTCGTGATTGCTGCAAAACGCTTGTATGCTGGGGTACCTGAAATAAAAATTGCTCACTGTAGAGGTTCTTTCTACTTACCCTCCCCACAATATACATATGCAGTCATACCAGACAGAGAAGTGAGTGAAGCTAAGTTATTGAAATGGGTATCTACTGACCTGGAGAGAGCCACTCCCTCTCTCCAATGAGAGGGTCATGGAGGCAGCGGTTGTAGATCCCTCCGTGGCCAGTATGCACATCCGAGGCATGATTGTTGATGCCTGCAGTTTCATAAAGTTTCTGCTGTCACCCTCCAGTTTACATGACTACCGAATACCAGTTTTATATTATAGAATTGCTTTCTGATCAGGCGATGTTTGAGGAGCTAGTTTGTATAGCTGGGCTCTGCTGATTTTGTCATGTTGGCTTCCTTTTTGCATTCACATTTGTTCTATAATATAATATTTTTATACAAAATTGGGTGATTTTGGCATTGGGCATGAACTTCAGTCAAAAGTTATATACGGCTATAAAAGGTCAGCTGAACTAGGGAAAATAGAATATAGAGAGAAAAAGGGACAGACATACCACTGGGACGGTCAACTACAGCTTGTTATATATGGCTTGTGTCCTACATCCTTCTACATGTACTAGTGTATTCCTCCAATAGGTTGTTCTGAAACATCATCCCTCAATGTTCTTTTTTAATATTATAAGGAAATGCAAGGATAGTGTGCTGATTTGTTTTTGCAATGACAAATGTTAGATGCGAATGCACTACTGCATGATATACCACAGAAATGTGTGTACAATACGAGGAATTTTTTTTATGTTTTTGCATGTGAATTGTGTCTTGTATTATATAAAGATTCAAACAATTTTCAGCATTCATGAGGTCAGTTAAAACACAGTCTCTCGTAGTTTCGGTTCCCAAGTAACCAAAATCATTATCACGCTTTTGTTAGCTGTTGTACCATCACCCGACCACTTAATCAACCAAAGTCGCCACTGTCGATCGCCTGGCTGCTATCAAAATCTCGCCAAGCACCTCATTGGGACCATTGCGGAGGTGATACACGGCGAAACAAGTGACTTTAGAAGACAGTTGGCAGCAGCATGGCAAAAGTTGGCTGTAAATGAGGGAAGGATACAAGGGTGGAGGCAACAGACACAACCCCTTTCTGCATGCAACAGCACAAGAGGTGTCCGGTGTCCAAAGAACGAAGCACTTTCTGGGGTGAAAGTAGACATGGCACACTTTGTGAAAAAATAATGTACTTGGCATCCTGGTATAAACAATTGAGGTACTAGGGGCAGAGGCAATGGAACTAGTAAGACAGAAAGGCATCCCACAATAGTAAAGGACTTCAAAGCAAACAAGCATTGGCTTTTGCACTTCATTTTCCGGAGTCGCATTAAATGTGGGTTAATCTTTTTTTAATATTATTTTCTGTCGGTTTGCAAATAGTGATCTGTATTATATGAAGTTTTTAGTGTATGCAGGTTTCTACAGTAGTGTCAAATGTGACCCTGGACCCACACTTTCTCCAGGTAGACTGCTATGACTTGCTGCGATTATTTCCCAGAATACACGACAGATACGTCTTCAAGTAGAGTAAAAGCAGTCCCTGATCTGATTCACAACTCTCACCGTGCCTGCGGTAAGGGAACGCACAGACCACCTTTATATGTGATGGCTGCAGCCAGCCGTTCAGTAGCTACTGGCCTTTCAGATGCACATCCCTCTTTTTACAGCTTCGCTGGGATGATTTGTTTATACAAGCATTTTCTATCTGTAACCCACTCCCTCACATAATGCTTTGGCACTGCTCGGTGTATTAGAAATAAACACAATATAGTTTTGGAAAATGTTTCTCACTTTTCCACATGTCAACGAGGAGTTTGCCATCTCCTTCGCTGTTGGCCGCACACCAGTAGACATGGTTGGAGGCAGGCTGTGCCCATTGCACCAAGGCACCACACCCTGCATACTTGCTCGCCGCCAGCATCTTTTTGCTTACGCCTGTGCAGAAAGGAACTAGTTAGTACACAGAGCTGTTAATGTCGACTTCATGGCAGACTGGTATGATGCTGCAAAGGACATGGAGAATAATGATTAAAGTTTAGCACCTTTTGCTATGTGCCAAGCATCGAAGTAGTGATGGATCTCGGGCTCCTTCGTCTTCATGTGGCCCTTGATGGCGACGTGACGGTCGGTCACCAAGTCTTCAATGGTGATGCCCTGCCGCTTGAGGAAATCTATGCCCTTGACACAGCCATACAGCTCCATGGAGTTGCTGGTCTTGACCTCAGGAGCCTGTAATTGTAAAAAGAATGGTTGCACAATAATAGCATGTTGCATATTATGTTATTTAGACATTCTCAAATCCAAACCATGACAAAAAAAGATTGGGGTAAAAAAAAAAAGCAAAATTGGTCAGCTTATATAAAATGGTTGCATATAAAACATCTAAACCTGTTGCCATCTGATATTAAAACGATGGAGGTGGGGACTACCCAGATAGTATAAAGGACAACATACCATAATTACTCTAGTAATAGCTGCACTATTTATGAACAAGGCCCTTGCATCTACTTTACTGCAAAACATATATAGGCCAATCACTGCGTTGTGCATAAATAACATAGCGAATAACTAGATTGAGAACATGATTCTCCATACAAATGCAATCTTCACAGATGGTATCTTTGCGCAAAGACGTTATCTCTGTCCTGTAAACTGCTGGAATCGTGCTGTCGATCTCAATGATAGGCAAGCCGCGTGCTCCACAGAAAAGCAAACCCTCCGGTTTTCTTCATAAGCAGTGCGGCTATTACTTGAGTAAATACGGTATGCAGGTAGAAAACAATTAGTGCCGAGTTACTAAATGATTAAGCAGCAACTTATTAAGTTATGAGTAATTTTATTGAAAGGAAGGTGTGAGTGGCATTGCACACGAGTTATTAGCCACACATGAGTCAGGAAACTGAATGGCTACATGGTCAAAAAGTGCCCCTAACATTTTATTTCAATTTCTTCTTTTTAGGTTCAATAAACAGTCACCTTGCACAGTCCTCTTAACTTTACTAGAAGGACGAAAAAGCCTCCCTGAAAGCATGAAATACTTGCCTCTCCAAGGCAGACCTGTACGAAGTAGACGACTTGGTTGGTGTCCATCTCCATGAACGTGTACGTCATGCACTTAGCGGAGAAGCCCGGCGAATCGAACCTCCCGTCTCCAGCCAAGTGAACTTTCTTTCCCCGCCTCTCTTCAAGAAGCCTCTTTTGCTCTCGATTCCACACCTGCAAAAAAAAAAAATTAAGAAATAATAATAATTACATTTTTAGGAAACATTTCTTTAATATTTGTCCAAACTGATAAATTTTTCGTTGTTAACAAATTACGAGTGGGCAGCTACACTTGTAGCGAAATTACCTTTGTCTTTCACATGCAGTGCCACATACTATATAGAATAGATTGTCATCTCGAGCAGTGGGTGCTATCCGTCTGTCCTTCTTTGTGCTTTGTTCAGCAGGCACAAGTGGTGATGCAACAACAAGTTGTTGCATCACCACTTGTGCTACCACATGCCAACTCAAATGCAAAATATGAAATATGAAAACAAACTTCTAATTTTTTTAGTGGATGCTGTCTAAGCATATTGTTGGTGGTAACCACCGCCTGCTGGACTTCAGAAGCAAGGTCGCAAATTAATAAAAGCTATGGGAGTATGCGGCTCCAAAGTTACACTTCGAGAAACATGGCCCTCGGCAGACAGTAAGTGAGCTGAGGCACTCACTCGTTCAATTGCAGGCTGCACGATCGCTGTCTGGTAAAGAAAGTATGTTCGTTCTGCAATAGCCTGGATGTTGATGAGTTCCAGGAGCCTCAGCACTTTGTAAGGGCTGGAACCAGTGGCCACAATAGCTGTGGACAGGAGGACGTTGCAAGCAGCCTTGTTCTTGATGAGTGGCTGACTCAGCCAAGTCCTCGTATGCTTGTCGGGACACACAGCCTTCACCTTGATCATTGTGCCTTGGGTCCAGGTTTGAAGTGTGCATGTTGCATGGCATGTGATGCACTGCCGGAACAGCTGCAGGAGGCAACTTTGAAACACAATGTATTTCTTCTCCTCGTGCGGGGGGTGCGATGGGGCTGAGTCGCTGCACAAAGTATATTCCCAGGGTCAGTCACAACCTAAATCAATGATGTGATTGCTGCGCCATTTGTGCCAAACTGCGCCAAAGGGCTTATTCTGCGACATTTTACCAAAATATAAGGAATTTGCACCAACACTGTGCCACAACTTCATTTCACTTTAATACCGAGAAGTGAATAGCTCAGGGCTCTCCACCAGGCCGGATCATTATGATATGCTTGTGCGGGTTTTCAGAACTTTCGATAATCGCCTCAAATAACGTACTACTCCATTTGATTTCACGTCAAACATTGAATGTACTCGGAAGTTTTGCAATAATTCTTATTTTTGTGGTCTGCTTTGGCGAGTTAGTTCGTTGAGTGTTCTTCTCATTGCACACTGATGTACTGCAGTAAAGCGACAGCGACAAAGTAGTCATTGCGATTTTGCATGTCTTGCTTTGCCGCAGTGCACCCGTGTGGTCAGGTTAAAGCACTCCTCCAGAGCGAAACGTGGCAGAATTTCAGAATAAAACTTGGGCTTGTATTCACTGGATGCCATATTTGAGTGGGCGATTTATAGCGCATTCTCAGAACGAGCTCACATTAATAGGCTGCTCCGACCGGCAATCTTGATGGTTTGTAATCCATGTAGCAAAAACACTGCTTATGCATGCCATCAGCACGTGCTCAGCAGTCATGCACAAAGGTATGGCCTCCAGTGAATACTCCCATACGATAGACTGCGATATCCTGGCACTATCTTTTTTCAATTCGAGGTTTCGCAAGGATACTTTGGTATTGCAAGAAGATTTATATGGACTTTTCTGTAATTTTATTTTGTATGCTTTGTTTTTCATCTGCATTCAGAATCAATTTTCTTGCAACCTCTAGAACTAAAAAAAACAAACAAGAAACATAAATTTACATGACAAAAACATTCCCCGGGGAAGGGGAACAAAGGAAAAGCACAAATCTCCAAACACATCTAGGTGACTGGTGTGCGGCCGAAAAAATTCGCCCGGTCCTGGTATCGAACCAGGGACCTCTCCATTTCCAGTGGAGCGCTCTACCAACTGAGCTAACCAGGAGTTGGACGTCTGTAGACCAAAGAGAGCTGTTACCAGTCTAACACCAACAAGGGTGAACGGCCAAAATAACCATTCACGGCTGTATGTGCTGTCTTTCATCAATCATCTCGCTTTTACTGTGTCTGGTGCTTCTACACGCAAGTAAATAGCTAGTTCTGTGTTTAAGGGAATCGCTCCTGCTGTGCCATCAATGCCAACAAAAGGTTACACGTAAGTGACAAGGCAAAGTAAACATTGCCTCTTAGTTGCACAGGCCAACACATTAATCTTAACGTAAAATTTGCAGTGAAATGAATGAAAATAAAGCGTACGCTTATGCTACCAAAGCTCTCTTTGCCGCTCCAAGAGCTGCTCCAAACTGAATCGGACCAGTTGCATCACTGCTAAATGAACTAACAGGCCACTTTTTACACCCTCGTAACCCTTTCTCCTATATGTGAAGGATCACAGACATGGTACTTGACCTTGAGACCTATTAACATGTATACTGGGGGTTTCAGTGAAAGCCTTAAATATTCCTAAGGATAGGGTAATTGAAAAACAAATGAACTCTTTTCAAAAACCAAATGTTAGGAATTGCAAAAATATATAAAAATTAGCTATGTAACTAAAAGTAGTAACTTTATAATTAGCAGTTTCTAGGTCTATGTTGCAATTAGAATTTTAAAGGCTATCACCATGGAAGGCTAAAGCAATTTATGGAAAGTAAAAAAAAGTAACCGGCTTGGAGATATTCGCCGACAAACTTTGCTCTGTAATAGGTATGATAAGACATGCACGCAGTGATACCGAATTTCAGAAATCATACCAATTACAGTGCAGAGTTCATCGGCGAATATCATCAAGCCGGTGTCTTCTTTTTACTTTCTGTAAATTGCTTTAGCCTTCCATGATGGTAACCTTCAAAATTATAATTGCAACATGAACCTGAAAACTGCTCATTACAAAGTAGATTAGCACATTTCAGTTACTTAGATAGGTAATTTTTATATATTTTGTGATTCCCAAAGTCTCTCGCAGCTCATATTTGGTTTTCGAAAAGAGTTTCTTTGTTTTTCTATTACTCTATTCTTCAGAATTTTTGAACGCTTTTGCTGAAACACCCAGTATGTGCAACATTCCACAACATTTTGCTCAATTCTATGTCATTTCATGGCTTTATTTTCTTGTTTGAATTTCCTAAACTTCTATTAGCTTAGGAACATATGACTTTTGTACCATGTGCCCCCTTTTTTAGAATCTGAGAGTGCAATATTTTCTGTACGCTGTATTGAGAGTTGAGTGACACCACCTATCGTAACACTGTAACCGAGTATGTCAGGTAACGCAGTGACAGCTACCATAAAAAATGCTAATACACCAAAGGGCTGGGTCCCTAACAAGGCAGCAAATTTATACCCTAAACTTATAAGCAATTTCTGCTATGTTAACTTCCCCTCGAATACATTTTCTCTTGATTGCAGCATGGTGCTCTCATATTGAAACCCTTTTTTATGCAATGGAAGAGCCCTGTGACGGATTACCTTAGGTAGCTCTCATCCTGAGATGGCTCATAAGTTGTGTCTGCATCTTCCACCGGCACAGGGCTTGAACACATTCTTGGAGTTTCAAATGAAATGTCCCCAAGCAGGAAGTCTTCTTCTGCTGGCTTGTGTGAAGGGGCAACCCGCTCTTCAAAGAAACTTTCCTTGCTTGCCCTCTCGGTAGTCGATGGCAGCGCAAGTAGTGGCTCCATAGCAGGTGGCGCAGGACTTGCACATGGCAGCACAGGTGTTGGCTCTGTGGTGGTTGGAGCAGAACTTGCATCTGGTGGCGCAGGTGCTGGTTGCCACGGGTCTGTTTGGGTTTCTTTTGACTCTTTCGTGCAGACGTTCACTTGTGTAGCTGAAATGTGTGTAAAAACTTGCACTTTGTTTGTTCCACCAGGTTTCCGTTGGGCTATGTCCACAATGTTTGCTACACAATGTTTTTATGTGAAGTCATTGAGAATACTAAATACAATGAAGTCCAAAACTAGCTTGCTTTATGTCTTCAGAGCAGCTGTCGACAATGATAATAAAGGCCTATAATATCTCGTACCTATGCGAGTTAATATAAAGTCTTGCCCGGGCAGAAATATGTCCTGAATTAACCATGGCACACTGCTCGTGTAAAAAGTTCATAGTGGAGAAAATTTGTATAAAACTAGGATGTATACACCTTTTCATTTCCGCAGTTGTATAGAGAATACTGGCGTACCTGTCGCCATTAGGTAGCTTCACTGCTGTTTGTTCTGATTTCAGCGCGCTCGTGGCTATTTTGCTGTGTTATGTGGCACTCGTTTAGTTCTATAATATAAATATTTATTATTTATTGAAGCCACCTTATGACTGCCATGTTATCTGATTTCAAGAAGGCAGCACCCATGTGACAGTAAATGAAAAGAATACAACACTGTCAAGCCTAGACATAGTTGGAACTCCACGTCAGTTTAATAAGAAGAAACCTTTGCCAAAAAACGAGGGACAAGAATGCTAAGAGCACTGACATAGTGCTGACTAACAACTGAAGTTAATATCTGCATAGAACAGGACAATAGACATTGAAAGAAATCAGATAGGAAAGGATTGAGGAAATAACCCGACAAGACCCGTCACACCAAGCCTCCAAGCATATATACATATCTGCCGCACTCGATGTAAGACTTAGCCCAAATAGGCTTGAATGATTTACATACAAGGCAGGATGTAAGCAGTGCTCACCTTTGTTTTTAAACTTTTTTTCGATGCTGTATGTGTGATCAGCAGATGCCAGAGAGATGCTGTTCCCATGATCGCTGCTAGCTGTGAGCTGGAGCTCCTGCAAGCAAAGAAAATGTGTCCAAAGTTATCTTTGAGTTTGTGCCTGGTGGTTAACTCTAAAACAGCCTGGTTCGCATTCCCCATACAAAAGATGGAAAATTAGCAAAACATATTTTAAACAATAGAAGGGTATGCACTTGGGCTAGTTGGCAGTTCATGGTTCAGAGGGTAAAAGCGCTAAAAAACAATGGATAAGTGAAAGACGAACAACACAGAGCACTAGGCTCCGAGGTGGCGTTTTTAAAATCTTTCGTAAAATGGATAGTAGATAGAAAAGCATTGATTTGATGATGTCGCATTTCTGTCATCACGTCTTGATTTCACGGTGTGTGTATATAGATATGTTTTTCTGTGAGTAAACTTCAGTTGCAAGAAGTGCTCTGTGTTGTTCGTCTCTTTCACTTAGCATACATCTACTTTGGCAAAATTAGCATCTTGGACAAAAACAAGTTAACATGAAACAAATCTCTCACTTCTATTGTGTATCATTTTATCTTTGAGTTCTCTCTCCTGCGTCTGGCAAGTGGGTGTGGCGACGAAGGCACTGGAGAGGAGAAAAATGGAGGAGAGCACCAAAGGAGCGAAAAAGGAAGAAGGGAGCTAAAAGGAGACGACCGTCGTCTTGACGCAACACGCTTCCCGTACAGAGCACTGTTGAAGCTACGCGTCGTCTGCTACGGGTCGACTTCTTTTTCGCCTGAATAAAAGTTTGCAGTCAAACGTAAAGAAAACTTCATTCGTTAGCTTGTTAACCCACCGAGGAATAACGGTATATTATTTTGTCAGAGCCTGCGATATAAAAGAAAATAATCAAAATTTAGATGTTGATCCCATGCATTCCAACGGGCAGATGAATGAAAATGGCGGCCCTCCTCGCTCAGCTAGGAGCAGCCGGGAGTTCACGTGCATGCGCTCATGCCTCTCGCTCTGCGCCGCGGGCTGATTGGCTCATTCGGGAGGGGGACGTTGCAGCGGCGAGATCATAGACTGTCCAAACTCTCCTCATATACGGCTCTGCTCCCTCCCTCTCATGTTCACCACCGCATACTTACAGAACAACGTAGAGAGTCGGGTACATCCTCCTCAACAGGCACGATTTCAATGGGGCTGACTGCCAAGTCTTGCCCAGACAGCACCTGTGAGGAATAACTTTTCATGTTGCTGTGGTACAGGCATGCAGCCAGGATATTGATTCGGAGAATGGGGTGAGGGGGGGAGAAAGAGAGAGAGGGGGAGGAGGTCCCAGCAAAATGAAAGATTTCAAGGTGGGGGGGGGGGGGGGGGGGGGGCAGGGGCCCCCCCCTCCCCTTTGGGATCCGTGACTGCTGTGGTATTCATGTGACATCGAAGTAGTAATTAACCGAAGTAGTACATTTAGTGCTGATAGTATTTAGCTACCAACCACTACTTACAATGGTGTGTTCTGGACCGTGATCTGTTCTCATGTCCTCCTTGCATGTTGCCGGTGTTTCTGGATCATCCTACGGAAGAATTTTAAGATTAGCATTAATATTTGTAACTAAGGTGGTGTGGTCATACAGAACACATGATCTAGATGGAAAACATATGAACAAATCAAAAGCTTCAGGCATGACCAACTCTTTTTCCATGGCTTCAGTGATCAATTGTATACAGCTGGACAAGGATGTTAAGGTACCATTTGACGTTGTCAACTTGAAGGTGATATCTTTGCACCATCCCCCCCCCCCCCCCCCCCCTTTGGGATACATGACTGCTCTGGTATTCATGTGACATCGAAGTAGTAATTAACCCTGCGGTACATTTAGTGCTGATAGTGTTTAGCTACCAACCACTACTTACAATGGTGTGTTCTGGACCATGATCTGTTCTCATGTCCTCCTTGCATGTTGCCGGTGTTTCTGGATCATCCTACGGAAGAATTTTAATGTTGGCATTAATATTTGTAACTAAGATGGTGCGGTCATACAGAACACATGATCTAGATGGAAAACATATGAACAATTCAAAAGCTGCAGGTATGACCCACTCTTTTTCCATGGCTTCAGTGATCAATTGTATACAGCTGGACAAGGATGTTGAGGTACCATCCAACGTTGTCAACTTGAAGGTGATATCTTTAAGTGATTGCAAAAATCACACTTGACGGGTAGACATTTTATGAACAGGTCGCCAAAGTAAGATCCATCGAGTGTCAATTATCGTGACAAGATACATATGCCGAGAGAAAGTTGTCTGTTTCTTGCACAGGAGTTGTGGTGAAGTCAGAATGACACCAAGTTCTGATTGAATATAAAAGAATAGTGGGTAGCCCTGATACTGAGTGCCACCCGAGGGTGGGAGGAGGAGGAGGAGGAGGAGGAGGAGAGGAGGAGGAGGAGGAGGAGGAAGAAGGAAGGAAGGAAGGAAGGAAGGAAGGAGGGAGGGAGGGAGGGAGGGGGGGGGGGGGGGGCGGGCGGGCTTTCTTTTAAATTTAGCAAACCCTATAATATACACCTGCATTTTGAACCCCCACCCCTCCTGCGTACCCCAAGTAGTGGACATCCAAGCCACCTCAACCCCCCCCCCCCCCCCCCCCCGCATTCCTGGATACGCCACTGGTTTGCTATATTTTTTTTTTTTTTTCAATCGGCCAATAAGAGCTCGATATACTGACGTTATCGCAACACCTGTGCAAGAAGCAGACGAACTTGCGCTCCGTTTCTAAACACTTCCACGGCTCACGAGCAGCAATGATTGCAATGACTGTGTAAGTCACAGCGGAGCAGCTTGCACAGAAAAAGTGCTCGCGTTCTAGAACTAGTGAAAACTATCGGCGTATAAATTGGTTACTCACCGTCCTGCGCCGCTTGCCCACTGCAGTAGGTGCGGCGCCCATGTGAAGTGACGGGACCGAATCGTCGCTCAGGCGCTTACGTTTTAGCTCAAAGCCCATTTTCTTGGAGACGTCCCACGACAAGTACGACTCCGCCGAGAAATGGTCGGAGCACACACGTTCGACTCCCGGTAGGCGGGTGTCGCTGCTCATTCCAAGTGCCTCCAGCCAGTGACTTCGCAGTGGCTCCTTGGTAGGCACGCGATGAAATGTGACGCTGGCATCACCTTTACGGAGCACCCGCCCGCAGCCTTTTACGAGGCACCTCATCCTTAGGGCGCCGGAACCGAAAGTGCAATTGTCATTTTTCTGCAGAAAACATAATCCCTGTAAACTGCGAGGGCATCTACAGGCAAGCAGTAAAGTTCTTTTGAGCGCTGCACCTTCAACCGCACTTATCCTCGATGTATCAGGAATCTGGAACTTGCCGCACAGCGCGAGACCATGGGAGACAAATTCGTACTTCAGTTTCTCGCAAAATGCGCCGCCGGCATCGTGCGTCGTCTGCTCGGATCCGCGAAGGAGCCCGCGCGCCCGCGCCGCCTCTTCCACCGCTTGGTGGCGGGTATGTCGACGGGTCATTTCTTGTTTCCGTACTTTATAAACTGCATTTGTTTCTTTTCTGATCTAAACTAGTGAACAAAGACTACTTTTATAAATAATTGAAACGGTTCGCGCCACTTATATTTTGTATTTCGACTAAAAAAAAGCTTTTAGCGGCTCTGACCAGTAGGAAGGCCAGGACCAAAAACGTCACATTTCGCGCGCTTTAGGCACCGTAGGTCGCCCCCGTAGGTGGAGGAGGTTTCCGCGTCGTCCTGTTAAAATATGACGGACTCATATTTAATTACTCTCTCCGTGCCAGCTGGCTTGCCCGAACCCCGAGGGACGTGGAAACCGCAAAAAAGATAGACGCTTAAATATGATTGCAGGGCCCCTTTAAACGTAAGGATTGTTTTGCCAGGGGTGGAACTCATGAAATGTACTTGGGAGCAGCCACGGGAGCAGCTGAAACAGCTGTTTTGGAGCAGGTTGGGAGCAGCTAAAACGATGTTCTGGAGCAGGCTAGGAGCAGCTCAGATCAGTTTTGATTGCACTTCAGCTTGTGTTTTAGACAAGCACAAGAGCAATTTCAGTTGTGCTTAGCAGCACAAAAGAACAACACAGATGGTGGTTAGGGACCTATGTAGGTGGGATAACAGTGTAACAGATGCGAAAACTTGAAACTTTGTGAGCCTTGATGAGAACCAAAAAGCAAGTACCATATGTTTCTGCAGATAGTGTCCTTGATATTTTCTGAGTGGCTTTCAGCTGCTCAAAATGCAAACCAGCACTGCTTATGGCACAACTCACACCTGTTCGAGATGGTAATTATATGTGCGAACCACGTGACGTGCGTGAGAAACGGACGTGCAGTTGCGCGGAGGAACAGGGCAACAAATTCCGAGTTTATACTATTGTATAACTCAATATTGAAGCAGCAGACTACGATTAACGGAGTTATCGTGTTCTTAGCGATAAGCAGGAGCAAGGTTTGTCAAGCAAGATCTATCGCTCGCGTGAGAGCTGCTGGCCGGCAAGGTTTCGGATCGGACTGCGTTTCAGTTCTATCAAATCAAGATTTATCTTGCATGAATGCGGTTCCAACTTCTAACGAAGAAGTACTAGAAGGAATCGTTTGCTAATGTGTTTTCAACTGGCTGACGTCCGGAACCCGGGCCGCAGAGCCTTAGGTAATCTGACGCTTAACGGCTCTACCTCTTCTCGGCCGACTTGCTTAGCCGCTTATGGTTGAAGAACAACAATCCAGTCGCAGGTGGTGTAGCACTTGGAATTGGAACCCCGAGTTTTTTCGCGCGCTTCCGACTCGGGAATCGGGATACAAAGGAAGATTAAACAGAACAAAGGATTGCAAGGCCGACCAAGCTAAACGCGCTCATTGTTGCCAATCGAGTCGATAAAAACCGAAACCAAGACAAAATGAAAACAAAATTGGGCGCACGTTCAGCGATTTGGCTGTGGCGCAGTTTCCGCAAAATGGCGCAGGATGGCGCAGATAAATGCGTCTGGCGCAAAATGGTGCAAATGGCGCAGCCGTTCAACCCCTGTTTTGCTCACTGATCTTCTACCCATTTTTCTTTTGTAAAACTTGCTTTGGACGTGTGTTACATGAAGACAGAGTACACATTGTAATATTTGTTTCACCCGTTCGTGCTGTTGCGGGCTACACATTCATTTCTGTATTGTGACATGGTGTGCACGAAATCAGCTACAAGTCCATTTTACTTTGTCGGATTTTATTTCACCACATTCCCTATGAACTGCAGAAGGGTGCTCTGGACAATCTGACGAACGTTAACCTACTTGGGTGCCCAGGTGGCGTCTTACGGAAGCTATTTGTGCGTGCTTCGGTCACAAACAATGGGAAAAACTAGAACTGCTAGAACTAGCCAGAAATAAAGCTTCATAAAATGGAAACTTGGGGACTTGAGTGAGTTGGTGACTCATATCCTAAGGTTTACAACTCAAGATCAATCACACACATTGACACACAAAAGGATCCCTTTCTTAAGGTTAACAGCCCGTGTGTTTGTCCTTTTGTGTCGGTGTGATTGATCTTGCTCTGTTAACCTTCCGAAATAAAGATGTTCCGAGTTTTGTGCGATTCAGAACATGTAACCTGTGGTGTTGCATTTAACAACACTACTGTAAAATACCGTGGAAGCACCCACTATTGACGTTTTCTAAGGTTGCACATTCTAAAAACTATACATTCAGTGTCGGGTCCATATCACAAGAGCGAATGACATTTTAGCGAATGGCGACATTTGAGCGAATGGTCGTTTTAGCGAATAACGGGGGCGCGCGTTAACCCATCCGTCGCGCTGCGCTTTACGCCGCTTCGCGGCGACAGTCTGCGGCAACTCATTACAAAAATATGAACTCACTTGGCCCACCCGAAAACGCCGCTTCGCGGCGTCCGACTATTCGCTAAAGTGTCGTTCGATGAAACGTGGGCGTTCGCTAAAACGTCATTCGATCAAGTGAGTGCTTCCCCCCTCAGCCATTCTACGGTAACTCAAAGAAAGCCCTTAGTCGAGCTGAGAAAAAACTATCTCTGCCAGAACAATGCTCCTTCAAAATTGATTCGGCAGCTTCAGCTAAAGGCCATGAAAAGCCTCTAGGTTTTATTCAAGCTCAAGGCAAACATTGCGAAATATAAACGTCGCAAGAAATGAAACAGGGTGAAGGAAGTGGACAAAACATGTGCTTGTCCTATCTGCTTTTACTTGTCCTACTGAACTATTTATGCTTTGCAACGTTTACCCAACTAGCCTGTCGTATAACAGCTCACAAGGGTTTGCATCCCACCCCAGATAGCACGTCTCTTTTGAGTCTAAATGTTTTTTGCGTGGGAAGTTAGGCCTTACTTAAAAATCCCGAAGAGGCTCAGGTAGAGCCAAACTTGACTTTCCTAGGCCAGAGTCCGGGTAACTTGGCCCTAATGGACCTTTTGTAGAAACATCGGTTCGAGAGAAAAAGGTCCTAGTACCCTCTCCCTTTTCCTTCTGGCCGAGCAGAGAGGGAAGATGGTTTCGTCGTGTCGACTTCGGGGCGGAAGATTACGCACGATGGGGACCAAGGCGAGTTTGGGGGAGCCGTATCTGGGTCACAGCGCCTCAATGGGTGAACAGGATGTAGCTGGCGTTTTGGGTGTGGAACGGGTGGGAGAGGCCTTGTGCGCGCGTTGTTTTCTCGCCACTTAGCCCCGACCCAGTCGCGTGTCTAGGAGGCAGCACATATTCGCCAAGAGGTCCATTCGCCAGACAAGTGCCAAAGTTAGGCTTCGCTTCTGCTTGTTTGACTTTCATGTGGCAACTTTGGTCCTAAATTGCCATGGGAGATTTAGTCTTCACTGCTGGATTTTCGGATCATGCATGGCATCTATGGCTCAAGTCTGGCATTTTGGCAACCATGTGGCGAGCCATAAGAGTGCTAGCGGAAATGCACTGGCACTAACTGACTCCTTGGAGCAAAACCATGTTAGGCCCACCTTAGGCCCCTAATAATCTTGTGTCAAATAAGGCATTTTTCTGGCAGGCTAATGGGACCAGTCTAGCTTTTCCTTTTACCAGTCATTGCTTCTCTGAAAAGTTTGAGTTCTTCCTTGCTGGCAGTTATTGCATGTACTAGTTTACAGTCGCCGACAGATTATTTGGATTGCAATAATTCGGACTTGTTCAATATTTCGGACCTAAAGGAGAAACCGTGACCTACCTGATAGAAATAGTGCAATTCAGGACCGATGTTTCGGACAGCTTGAAGTCGGAAAGTTAGATTTTTCGGACAAAATTGTCGTGAGCGATCAGCAGAAAACACCACCAAGCGGGCATTCTGGATTCTATGTTGGCTGCATATGGATTTACTTGGTTCGGCAGTGCTACTTGAGTAGTACTGCTAAGTTCTACCGCTAGGCGATGCTGTACGGCTGTTTTTTCTCTAGCTATGTGTCATTTTCATCATCATTGCAGTCATGGACTTACTTATTTTTTTTTACAAGATAATGCAGGCCCGTAATCCTGCCCAAGCAGGGCATCTCATCGCACCTCATCTCTTTGCGCCCCTCATCTCGATCTCATTTCAATGAATCGCATTTTCGGACTACGCTGGTTTGGACGTCATTGCCCATCTGTTCTTCTGCCGCCGCGATGTGTCGCTAAGAAGTGCAGAAAGTACTCGACCAAAACGCTAGAAAAGAAGGCAGCGATACTCAAGCTAATAGAAAGTTGCCGAATGCAAACGGAGGCATAACCTAAAACAAGGCACATAGGTGTAACCTGAAGCAAGGCACTATTTACGGCTTTTTTTTAAGCACACTTAGACGTAGGTAATAAAAGCAAATTTTTTAATCTGCTGATTTTTCGGACTGCTTTATTAATCTGACATCTTTTTGGTTCCTGCAAAGTCCGAATAATCGGTCGGCGACTGTATAACCTTCCTGAACATAGAGCGTGTATCAAAGAAGCCATAGTGTGCCACATCGTTTTTTTGGCAAGTCTAGCGTCCCGAAACTAGGATTTGAGAAATAGATGCACCATTTCAATGAGTCGGGAAAAGAAGCGTGCATCCAAAAAGAATGCGAGTGCTCTTCGCTCTCGAAGCGAGATTTTGCTGAAACCTCGCCAAGGTCTGTCAAGCAACCGAAGGAAAAACGCAGACGCTGCTAATGGCTGCTTGACGTCGCTGCGACATCCGACCTTCGAAGCGGAGCAGGCTTTTGGAGAAGCCAGATTTTCGGCCAATCCCGTATCTGAGCAAAAGCCAAGAAGAGAAAACGAACATTGCGGCGAGCGACAAGCGGAGATGCGGTGCGTACGAGCGTTACAGGTTGGCAGTATGGTTTGGGGGTGCGGCGCAGATTCCTCAACAATCCTGTCTCTTCACACTGTGCATACTTTGTATCTTTTTGATGCGAAATGCTTGATATTCCCAATGTGGATGAATAGGTTTGGCGAAATTACCCCGAGCAGGGTGTCTAGCAAATTACTATTTTGAAATTCCCCGACTTTTTCCAGGTTTTCCCTGACAATTTCAGGTGAAATTCCCTGACCACTGTAGAGGCGGTTAAATATACGAGACCATTACAACACAAGGCATTGAGCATTCAACACTGTGAGGATAATTTTCCACAGGCTTAGTTCAACTTGCATATTCTGAAATAATCAGGTTCGGTTAGTTTGGATTAAATGAGCACTTGCCGCCGACATCGTCAGAGAAGAGGCCACTTCCGGATACACGATGAAAACACGATGCTCAATCACACACGTCAATAATCGAATGGCAGCATGGCTGCCAGATGCACACTTTCGGCTGAAGGCTTGGGTTGGATTGGGTCAGCGGCCTTTCCAAATAGTTACTAAATCTAGTAGCTCTAACTGGATCTAGCCTAGTGGCGCAACCTCAATCCAATCAAAGGCTTGGACTGGGTTTGTCAGCTGTTCCCTTTGCATCGGGTAGCACACTCTACGTCAGGTGAGTAGAGCCCGCGCTCCGCTCTAAGCAGAATTTATTGCCTAATTTTCTGCCCCCGAGTCCTCAAGTCTTTGCTCAGGGTACTTGATGGCGTTTCCGGCTCATTTTCCCTCGCTGGGCTCGCTTTTTTGACAATATCCCTGACATTTCTCCGATTTCTCTTGGTAATTAAACTTTCCCTGACAATTCCCGGTTGCTAGGCACCCTGCATGAATCAATGCATCACACTTTTCGGACTTCGAAATGTCCGAACTGGCCGATAGTGCGAAATGTCCGTTTCGCTAAACAGTTGCAAGTTGAAAAGATGCACCGGGTGGATAAACCTTAACAGTGTCACGCCGCGCACATGTCTGCCTTGCATGACGTTTGGACGAAAATCACTACCGCAATATCCTGTACGGACGCCCATTAATTTTGAAGAGATAAAAATATTGGGTGGACGATCTTTGGCAACGAGACGCCAAAAGTTTCTCAACAAGAATGGCACCTGCCTTTGACCACGTGGCACGGGAACCGATACCACAAATCGCGCGGTTCATTCACCGGGAATTGGCGGTGGACGACGTTTCGAAATTAGTAGACTACAGATGAACTAGCCGGGAAAACGGGACGCACCATCTCACAGAGAAGGGCATTCGTTCGAGGTTTTACTCTACTACCGCCGCATCCGAAGGATTTGCTAGACTCCCCGGGTGAGCAACTGGGCATCTTCCTTTATTCTTCTCTGCACAATGATTCGAACGGACTGAGTGATCTACGAGGCCGGCCCGCGCTCAGCTCTGGCCCTTGTAGCGGTTCAGCGTGTCCCGGAGTTCGTCGGCGTCTTCGGCCGTGCGCACTCGCAGCAGCAGCGTCGTGGGTGCCGGGGAAGTTTCGTTTGGGTCCATGGGAGGGTTGGGCACGCACACCAGCGCCACATTGTTCTTGCCCAACCGGGACACAGGGAGGGTGGGTGCCAGCAGGATGTTCAGCAGGATGTTGCCTGCAAAACGAGTGGGACCTTGAAGTCAGCGACCGCGAGGCGGCGCCGTTCTTCGAGCCGACGCTACGGTGCCCAAACACGTATCTGACCGCCGCGTTTAGCGTCTTGTCCCGCTCGTGCATCAAAGGGGTCCCAAAGTGGCAGCAAATGACACCGGTGTCACTGTGGTGACGATGGGCGCTCGTCGGCCAATTGCACCCCGCCTCTCTGGGAGAGGCGGCCTGCAGTTGGCCAACGAGTGCCCTCATCACCGCGCTGACACAGCTGCTGGGGTATGTTTATACCCCAGCAGCCTGTTACAGTCTCGATGTCATGGTGTCACATCACTTAATGACATCACATGACTTAATGTCACGGCGTAACAACTACAACTGACATCATGACGTTCATGGTACTGCATGACATACACTTCACAATATTTCGTGACATTTCATAACATGATATCGTAAGACACCATAATGTCGCGTACACCAAGGAGTGTTGCGACAAGCTTATGTCAGACGATATTATGACATCACGACACCGTCAGATTGTGCGACGTTATAAGGTCACCCGAATGCAAAGCAGTACGACACGCGACGTCGCAGACACGCATAGCACATGCAAAGCTCATTCGGGGCGCGTTTCGGGCTCCCTGGTCTCCGTCGGCACGATCGAGCTCATTCTTGTCTCGTCAGGCCCACAACTAGTCACGCCTAGTCACGAGGAAAACCACAACCTTCAACCAAGGCTGCCACAGTGGCGCGGGCACCCGGACGAGGGCAGAGAGCACGACGAAGGGCGGGCCTCACCTAAACTCGTGTCGGCCCTGAGCAGCAGCTGGTGTCGCCCGTTGAGGGACTTCACGTACAGCGTGCCCACGCCCCGTTCCACGTAGCCGTCCCCTTTCTTGTGGAACAGCTTGCACCTGCACGGAAGAGTTATGCAGACTTGAGCGCCGCTTGCCTCGATGCATAGAAGGGCGACTATTTTTTCCAGCGCGCAAGTATGGTGCATGGAAAGAGTCTCCGACCGGTGTTTGGCACGTCCTAAAAAGTGGTCCCTCAATTCCCGCACAATGACTGTGGATGTCGATGCACTGCCATGACTGTGGGTGCAAACCTGAATTTAACTTGTGCACTGTTATTAGAAAACATAGAGATAAGAGGGTAAGGGAAATTATAGAGGCAGACCCGATAAAAAAACTACGGGGATCGATGTGTCAGCGTGGCGTCGATTGATTTGGGCGACAAAGAAACACAGTTCTTGTGATCCGTGGCGTGGCATGGGATTGGCTGAATGTCACGATGATGCAGAGTATTTATACCCTTGATTTTCTGACAAATAAACCAGTTGAAGTTAGCGCATTGTGTTGTCTCGTTCCTACTCTTCTTCCCTGTCGTGAAGCGCTATTATGTTCTCCCATTTTCAAAGCAAATTCGCCACCCGTGACCGCCGCATGCAAGTACCACTTAGGCCCGCTTCAGACGGAGCAATTTCACCCAGCAATTTGACGTCGCAACACCAGCAACACCGGCCGCCCGCGTTCACACGCAGCAACCGAATTGCTCCGACTTGCCATCATCATCATTAACTTTGATTCTTCTTTCACTATTTAGACGCCCAGCTACGCGCTAAAAACGCGTTCTTATATCTTTGAACGGCGTTGAGAATAGTAAATCATTTTTCTGAAACTGTTTATTTCCGAAAACGATCCATTCCAAAACAAAACTAAGTCTTTAGCTGTCATCATCACCACCTCAGGGGTGTCACGTGAAAATATCGCGTCTCTGATTGGCTGCAGCCGCTTCAACCGTCTTCGAATTGCTCCGAGTTGCTCGCTTGTTCGAGCCGGACCCGATCTCAGCAATTCGCGTCGATCTAGGGAAAGCCAGGGAACAACCCGCCAGCAACCTCAAAATTGCTGGAAAAGTTGCCCCATCTGAAGCGGGCCTTACCGTTTTTAGGGGGGCGCAACTTACACAAAGGTGCAACTCACAAACCAGAAAATACGGCACATACTCGGACTAGTTGGCATGCCCCGAGGAACTATGAGACTGGCTTGTCTCGAGTCCGCCAAACCAGAGAGTTGTTCATCCTGCTGCCATTTTAGCATATTTTGTGGCAAAAGCCTCAACCGTATGTTTAACCGAGCACTGTGGGTGGCATGCTTGCCTTCCAAGCAAGCTGGAGTATGCGAATACGCTAACTATTGCTGAGGAGCGCACCGTCAAAGACACTATTTCAACGTTGTGCGATTCTGCGCAGTCTTTGTTTTAAAGAAATACAGGGAGCCTAGGTCAGAGAATATGTGGCTGGAAGGCGAGCACCCTCGAGGTGCTAACATGTTCACTACCTGTGTCGCACCGTTGGATGCAAGGGTGGCCATTGTCACGGCGATCCCTCTCCCATTTGCTTTGGTCTCCATCAAACGTCTCCCTGTGGAGCTACCTACAGCAGAACATCTTGTCGTAGGTTGCTTGCTATATACTTCTGCAAGCAAATCCGCACTGAACAAACAAATGAACATTCAGCTTCCCGCACATCGCTGCAAAGTGTTTCGCCTGTTTGTTCTACATTGCCTCTTCTATCCTTCACCATCCAATAATTGAGCAGTTCTGTGTTGATCCACAGTACAGTGGCAGCGACAGCTGCAACAAGTCACGGCAACGTGGGCATTGGCGTTCAAGCATTGTGCGGTGTGCGAACAAAATAGACATCGGACAATCTTGTTCCAAATGCTTTCCTTTCTTTATTGTTTTGGAGCTAGTGAAAAAGCGTCTTCCGGCTAGAGCTCTTAGCATTGACACTGCTACAAAAGCATTTTGTTACCGGCTATTTTATTCTTTCGGGAGAGCACGTGCAGTGGGCACTGGGTGCTACAAAACCCCCAAGTTTAGGGCGGGTTCTTAACCAGGGTATCTAGAAAATTATTATTTTGAAATTCCCCGACTTTTCCATGTTTTCCCTGACGATTTCAAGAAAATTTCCTGACGTCTGTAGAGGCGGTTAAATATATAAGACCATCACCATACAAGGCATTGAGCATTGAGCACTGTGGGGATCATTTTGCATGGGCTTAATCCAACTTGCATACACCAAAATATTCGGGTTCATCCAGTCTTGATTAAACAAGCACTTTCTTGCTGCCAACATCTTCAGTGAAGAGGCCACTTCCGGAAACGCAATGAAAACACGACGCTCAACCACACACGTCAATAACCGAATGGCAGCATGGCAAACTGCCGCCAGATGCACACTTTTGGATACTTTCGGCTTAATGCTTGAATTGGATTGGGGTCAGCGGCTTTCTCATCTGTCACTAAATCTAGAAGCTCTCACTCAATCCAGCCTAGTGTCATGCCCTCATACCAATCCAATCCAATCCAAGGCTTGGACTGGATTTGTCGGCTGTTCCCTTTCATCGGATAACACGCTGTACATCGGGTGACAGAGCCCGCGCTCCGCTATAAGCAGAATTTACAGTAGACTCTCATTAATTCAAACTCCAGGAAGTCGCAGCTTTTCGTTTGAATTATCAGGAGTTTAAATTATTAGAAATTCATCTAAATATGATACTAGACAACATTATGATTTGTTACATGGATAGCTACACATACAAAGCATATTTTTGCCAGTTTCCTCTTCATAGGCCTAATTATAAGCAAGTACAGCCATAATACATTGGTGAAAGAACTATGACGTTAAGTTTAATCATCCGGAAAAAAAGTTGTAGATTGTGGACTGTTTAGTCAGCACATAAGATCTTAAAACAAAATTTTCAATACCAGCCAACGTTAGTAGCTCTTTACGGGATTCTTTCTTTGCAGACGAAAACTTCCGGAGCTGAGCAATGTGCTCAAAGGCCTCTGCGGCTGTGACAGTTGGTAGTGGGTCATCTTTTTCTTCATCGTCATCTTCCCTCTCACTGCTGCACTGTGCTGGCATTACTTCCTGCACTATCCCCTAATGAGTCATCACGACAAACACACACATCGTCATCAAGACTAGCATATTTCGCCAGCTCGGCGTTCACATTATGTGCTTCAAGGCCAGAAAGCATGATGCCAATAAGCTGTTCCTCAACCTCAATGTCGTCTTGGTCATCATTGCTAGTTTTGAAGCACATAATGTGAATGCCGTTTTCCGCTGATGTGTGCCCGCTTGAGCCCCGTTGCGGGGGCTCCTTTCCGAGCATCAGTGCACTGCAGAGAAGCAACACTCGCGAAAGCAAGCTCCACGGGTATTGCTTCTCTGCGGTGCACCGGTGCTCGGAAAGAAGCACGCTCAGCGGGCCGCAAGAACAAAAAAGTATGAATTAAGCGAAAACGCCGTTCGAATTAAGCGGCTTATAAATACATTAAAGACATAGCGGGACAACCAAAATTTTCAGATCTGTCTGAATTAACCGGAAGTACATGATATCCGAGTTTCAATTATCTCGAGCCTACTGTATTGCCTATTTTTCTGCCCCCAAGTCCTCAAGTCCTTGCTCAGGGCACTCGATGGCGTTTCCGGCTCATTTTCCCTGACTGGGCTCGCTTTTTGGCAATATCCCTGACAATTCCCTGATTTTTCCCAGTAATTAAAACTTCCCTGACAATTCCCGGTTTTTCCGGTCGCTAGACACCCTGGTTAACGCTGTGGTGTGGCTCAGTGGCAACACCTCCGCTTTGCATGTGGCGGAGCCAGGTTTGATTCCGGCGGGCCATCCTTTTCCAGGACATGACAACATTGACGACGGATGCGCTACATCGTCAAGTACAAGATCAACGATGGACGTCATTTCTATAGTCGGTGACAGGTTAAGAATAAGGTGGAAGGTCCTCCTAACTCTTTCCACTTCAGTAAAGCAAACGATAAAGAGGAGACCGCCTTTTCTCCACCGTTAGCTCTGCCAAAGTGGAAAGAGGTGGGAGGATCTTCCACTTTACTCTTAAAGAGACACCGACACCTCAAAGGTCGTATTTTTTTAAATTGTCTAAAACGATGCGAGTTGTAGTCATAGACACGCAAAAAAAATACCACAATGCAAAAAAAAGTTTCCCACACGCGTGCGCGCCTTTTTATTTTTGTCGTTTTTCTCTCCCGCTCCTCACCTCCTCGCTTCATTGATTTCCGACGTCAAAAATAATGAAATTTAGAACCTTGGTAGGCGACATTTCTATAAAATTTAATAACAGCAATCGTAAAATGTGTCTTCTAACGCAATTGCAAACGCACTATGGCCCTTCTTTCTGAAATACCGAAAATCAGAGTCCGTTCTGATGTCACCTCCTGGCTTTTTAGCCTCCCTCGAAAAACATGGCGGCGCTCCATGCACATAGCAGAGGATGATTGGTGAGTCGGAGAATCGGACAAAGTGGTCTTTTTTAGGCGCTTGACGACCTTTCAAACTTTGAAAAGGAAATCGTCAGACAGTCAAAACAACTGGGTTTGTTGGTGTCTGTGTATCATAGTTTCGGTTGTGACTCCGCCAGGGCAGCGTCGTCTGCTCGAAGCGACAGGCAGCACGGCACGCACAGAGGAAACCGGCTTCCCGGCAGGCACGCCAGCGCCCTTCCCTCCCGGTCCTCACCTCCTCGCTTCTGGCTGCGGCGACACGTTTCAAAGCAGAGGCGCGAAAGAAACTCAACTCGCAGGACCCCTCAATATTTGACGTCACTCCACTGGGGCGGATCGCGCGAGAACCTCAAATTCGGCATTGGGAAATGGATTTTTTGCTTCACAAATACTGAATTCCCAACTTTCAAATCTTGAGGGTAATGTGGCATCGTTTTTAATCGTTTCGCATAATAAAAAAAAAAAAAAAAGATTTTGACGTGTCAGTGCCCCTTTAACCTGTCATCGACTATACACCAACTCATGTTTACAAACAAACCGGAGCGCCCGGAGCGCCCCTAGCGGACGCCACCGGCGCCGCGCATG